CCAAATGGATTAATGCATGACACTTTGGTGCTAAAAATAACAGGTATTTGGTTCGAGACCCAGTGTGTATAACATCACTCACTTGGGACTGCAAGTAGACGAGTCCCAAATAGGATAAGATGCGCATTCTGTACTCTACTGCTAGTCACCATCCACTAAAAAACATTAGTTCTTAATTTCAAATACTGTGTTGCGAGATTTCGGTTGATTTCCGTGTATATTGTAAAATAAATCCAGAGCAAACAAAAGGAATATTGGAAAGGGAAGTGTTTCCGACATATTTCCCACTCCAATTCGATCATTTTCGGGATCTTGAACTCACAAAAATGTAGATGATATTTCCGAGAACTGTACAGTGACTAGGAGAACATAACTCAGTAACTAGATGGGAATTCAATGGTTTCCATTTTCTGTTGACTTGCAACACAATATAATTATCACCCAGTGTCATAGTCAAATAACTCTCTTACTATATAGCCAAATGGATCTCACTGTCCAAGTGTTTTCATTAGAAATTCAGTGACGCAAGAAAGAAAAAGAATAGTACCCTCAAGGTGTTGTTCCCTCTTCTCCTCCTTTTTCTTTCTTCTTATACCATTTGACTCTTTCTGAAAAAAACAACTCCATCAAATACACTGATCTGACTGACTCGTCACCAATTACTGCCCTATCTGACTGTTTCAAATTGGATAGCTTTTTGTCTGACACCGGCCAGCGGTCTTAGTTTAATTCCTCCAAATGTCAGACAGTTAACTTCTCCTTCAGTTATAAACGCAATCTGCACGAACTTGTTGGTTCACATGATGCTTGGAGCATAGGGGGCATTGAAACAGGAACAGTCGAGCATTAAATACTTTGGAATAGCTCTTTCCTCTGACCTATCCTGGTCACTCCACATCTTGTTAATTTCTAAGAAAATGTCTCTTCTAACCTTCTACATTAAGAAGTTGAGACAATCAGGAATCACTCAACCTCTACTTTTACAATTCGTTAACTCTTTCACCTTACTTATTGTTCTTTATGGCTCCCCCTTTGTCTTTCCTGGACTAATCAAAGAGGAATATGCCATAATGCGAAGGGTATTAAAGACTGTCAGCAAGGTAGGTGGTGTGCCACTAAGTCAGCTCGACAGTCGACAGACACCTGTACTGATGCGAGATATGGGCTAAATTCATACTATCTTACTTTATTCACAACTTTCCCCTAGCATCTCACTAGGTAGGCCTAGAAGTTATTATAAAAGAAGACTATATGCTAGCACAAACAAGTACAAAAATTCAACGAAACCCTATTTGACTGGCATTCTGTGTGAATGTTAAACGTGGAACTTATAACATACTAAGTAATTAGCGAAACAAATGACTCTCTGGTCTTCTCGTATTTGTAATTTATGGTGATACTAATCCAATTATCTTATAATTTTAGTTATTAATATTATTATTATCACTCATACCTTTTGTGAATTTTTCAAATATTGTCACAGCTAAGGTCGACAAATTTGACACTATCAATTTCGGCTACCTATAACATGTAACACTTTTTTATTGTTGTTGAGTAAACTGGATCCAATATTGCAGCATATGCTAAGAATTCCATGCTATACCATGAACAGTGTTTTGGAATAAACCAAATTATCATTATGTCCAATCTCTTGATCTTACAAGTTAAACGTTCACGACCTGATTCCTCAAAGAAGTATAAGTCCAGAAAATAGAATAGCCTCAATTTACGGTGAAATAACTGTGTATTGGTCGTTTGTTTGCTTTTCATCCTCTAATGTCAAGTTTTTCCTCGGTGTACTGGTATGATATATGGCGAATTAGTCTGTTACACAATAATATAAAATACCTTTGTTGAAAATGTCTGTTTACTTCGTCTACTGATTAATTCTGTTTGAAACACCTAGTTACACTGTGGTGAGAGGTAGCTGTTAACCAAAATTGGTGGGCAGCAATTTACGTCAATGTTTATGTCCCCAATATTGGCCAAGAGGAAAATGAGAACAAAGGCTTTGCGTAGGCGGACATAGTTAACATATAGATGATCTGACATTCAAGAAACAGCCACAAAGAGATGCAAGGTTAACTTTCTGTGAGAAACAACCAATCAGAGGACTGTGAGTTTTCCTGCTAACAATGATCTATAATATGTACACGAAAATCTATAAATATGTGTTGATTTCCTTAATAAAGGATCTGTTGCCTGGCCCTTGTCTTCTCATGTTACAATACTTCTAAGGATGATAAGAAGCAGCTGAAACTTGAGCCAGAACTTTAAGCCACTGACTGCTGTTGCAGAAGAGATTTTGTGTTTTGAAACTTAGATTTATGCTGTCACGTAGACACACAACTAATCAGAATAAGTTGTTTCGTCATTGTCTATGTGTAAAACTATATGTGTATGATTGGGGCGGAGAAAATGTTCTCCCTACAGTCATGACCTAGTAATCGCCTTCTGATATTTCTGTGAAAGGTACCAAGGGAGAACAGCTGTATTCAGTATTCCGAGCAGTTGCATATTTACGTTATCCCCATACCATAGTCCACCCAGTTATATCAATTACTGTCACTTCAGTACATGTTAAGCAAAATATCTGAATTTCTTTTAGTTTCATTAAACCCAAACAAGTTCATCGTTCATCTCCAAACCATATGTTTATTTCCATAAATCTCAATTAACTGAAAACGCAAAAAACGTCATCCTGTGCATATAAGACATACTCAATTGATCTCAAAATAGTTTTTACTCCTACTTTATCACGAACCATTAAAATTTCAAATAGGGAAATTTTACAGAGAATCGCTTGGCTAAATTAATCTGTGATAAAAACTATCAACAGTTCGATATTAGACCACCAGATCCAAACAGGCTATAAGGTTAATACTGAAGAATCTATTCCAGTCATTCATAGGGTATCGAATGTTCGTCAACCAAGCATGTGGTTTTGGATTTGATCCCCTGTCGATGCACTCCTAAACCTCTCTAAGCCAGTAATAAGATTGGTAAAGAGGGAAGGCTTGGCATGATGCTAGCAACCCCATCCCGTAAAAATAAACATCACCGCTATCGAAACTTCAAAGCTGAAGCTTGAAGCCCTATGTTCTACTGGAAACGTAAAGGAATACAAAAAAATGGGTATCGAATAATTGCCGAAATCCTCTTGGTACCAAACAGCAGAAGCCGCAGAAATTCGCATTAAACAACTAGAGCTCTGTGTGCAAAAGATACAGATTCAGCCACTATCGCTACCCTGGCCTGCTGTGTAAACTATAAATTCATAAACTCTACCACTTTTTTCTTGATTTATCTTATATTCAATTTAGTGTTTTAATTTATGCATATATTATTTTGCTTCCAAACTGTAATCTGTTGATCATAATAACTAGATGTTATTTAAAAATTTAATGTTTTTAATAATAATTATAATAATTCCTTAATTATAATGGACATATCATTGTAGAACCTGATGAAGAAATTATCGAAAAGAATATTCTTTGTTCAAACACTCAATCACCGAAATACATAATACTTAAATTTCAAAGTATTTTGTATAATTCAGCAAAATGAATTCAGAAGTACTGGGCAATACAGAGAATGCTTGTTTTCCTTAAGAATAAAAAATACACGATGTTTACTTTAATTTTACGAAACAACAGTGAAAATAAGGTTTCTTCGACTGAATACTACATTATGCAACCAGTTCTTCATTTGATGCAGACTGAATTCCATCAGTCAAGTTTACAATTTGGTCACCATGCCTGATGGCTTGTCGTCACGGTGCATGACATTGATTACTACTTAGTGTCCAATCAAAGTATCCACTACAGTCCTACAGAAAGTTAAATGTGAGCTCAAATAGCTGAGTGGTAAAGTCTCTGACTTCAGCACTGAGTCACTCCAGTCTCAGAATGGAAATGAGTTCCTTCGAGACTGTAGATACGCATCGCTGACGAGGGCTAACAAGCACGAAAATTCAGTTTAAGGCTTCCTGCCAACTGCCTCCAAATATCTAGCGAAAAAATAAAGTTTCATTTGAAAGTACTGAACCTTAAGTTAAAAATATGGAAATAAAATCAACTGGAAGGGACAACTGTTAAATTATTTTTGGAATAACCGAGGAAGAGTATGGGCATAACAAAGAATAACGATATAGACAGTAGACACAACTTATCACTTTGCTCTCCTTCCAATCAACCACTAGTTTCCATCATCTTCCTAACTTCTTTAGCTACAACTACAATGAAAGTCAAGAATCAATTGTCTTCTGACTCTATCATGCCATCTAGTATAATCTAATGTGTGAACACAGGTGCCAAATACTACTTGTTGATTTGAATGACAGAAACTAGTAGTGCATCATAAACAGATAGAATGGCAGTTTCGCCCGTTTATGGCGAACTCATCAGCGATGTACCCGGCTTGACTCAGCTCAGAGAGCTGAATTAGTTCATACCACCTGAACTGTCAGAAGCTACTTAAGTGAACTTGTCACACAGTGGATTCAGTTTGCAAACGAAACTATGTTGCAACTTCACTCTAAACTGTGTTAATTGAACATTGCTAATTCATTTGTGAATTTAATACAAACGCATAAGTAATTTTTCAACAAGCGAACAGAAGTACGATATCAAACGTTACCAAATAGTTACTTAAAACTGTTTCTTTTCTAACGGATTACTGAACTGAAGACTATTCACCATTGGACAGAGTGAACCAAAATAGTTCATATTTATTTATGTTCACGTCACAATACTTTATGAATGATGTTATCTGACTGATGGTGACTGGCGGTTGAATTCAGGACGCGAGTTCCGTCCTAGTCGGGACTTGTTATCTGGATGTACCTGCAAACCAAATGAACGATAGTATTCCCACGAAAACCCAAACCCAATATATATATCGTTTCAAAAGTTATATCGCCAACCACCAGGTCAGTGATAGTCATTCTTTGAAATAAAAGCACAGAATTTACAAAACTACACTTATAATTGTGAACTTACTTGTCCAGAACAGTTGACTAGGATATCGTTAGAAACAGATGAATCTTCCGGAGAAGGCATCCAACCATATACCTGAAAGGGGTTTTTCGAAAGAGCAAGTATACAGAATATTACACTGCTACACAATTCAATAATAATAATGAGTTACGAAGTAAAACTTTTAATGAAAAATGTAGAGTGTTTAAATACAGCGATTTACGGATAGTTTTGAGCAGTACCAACAAGAGTCTACAATCACTAACTTCATGCATCACTATATACCCATAAAAGTATCCTATGCCTGGCTATACAAAGTTCAAAATACTAGCCAGTAATTTTTCAGACTAGTACCCACTTTTCGTTTGACCATAGAGTTAGTTTTCTTGTGGCTTATTCTTAAATCAGTTATCATCAAACACTGAGATACACAAAAGTGAAAAATAAGCAACATATGCATCGCATCTACAATATTTCCTGACAACAGAAGTCAAGGCTTACTGTCAGTTAGTAACAAAGTAAATTAAAGTGTATGAGTGTGTGTGAAAAGCAGTGAACAATCTTACGTAACATAGAGGTGTAACAATTAAATAATTAAGTGGCAAATAATGATTTAGAAATCACTGATGATAAACAAGAGAACTAAAGATCGAAAATAGGTTCCAAAACGAAAATGAAAGGACTACTTAGAGTTTATTTCGCAAACATTCAGGAAAACGAAATTGATACTAAGGCCATAGTGTTAAAAGAGGCTGGACAAAACGTCTCTGAACACAAAGTTCAGGTCTCTCCTTATGGATTGCTAAAGCTTCAGCTATATGAACAAGACGTAGATGAAATCCCTTTGAATGTTTTTATATAAACCGCCTAAAAAACTGCACGCCTTTGATGTGAAGTCACGAAATGGATCTCTTCAATGACTTGTGCGTTCTTAATTATATCACAAGGGAATTTTTTATACCAACGCATTTTTGTAATTTTATGCTCTAACTTGTACTCATCTGCCTTAAACCATATGCTTAAATTCAATACAAGCTACTGACCATTTGCAGAAGACACGACAATTAGTATATAAAACAATGTGATGTTAAAATACAGACGATCATTTCATCTTAGAATTACTTCTTGATAAATATTTAAATACCTCTCTGTTCTCATAGACAAGATAGACTGATAAATACTGGAAATGAGACTTATATATCCATGATGAGATTCTCTCAGTAATCATTCAATTAATTATTAATTCAGTCTTTAAAGAGAAAACACAGACGGTGAAGTTGGCTGATAGCGAATCCCTCCATTCTCTCAATTACCACGATTCGATGTCACTTAAAGAACCGTCGCGAACCAGAGAACAGAGTTGTTTACCTTAATTTCGGACCCCTCAGAAGTACTCAACCAAGACCTAGGCGTTAAGTATGAAGGGGATGCTAACCGATGGCACTGGATAGAGGTAATACTTTGTCGCAAATCGAAATAAGTTGTTAGCATCTTCGTCACACGGAACCATCGTCAGGTTAATCGAGGTCAGCTAAAAAGTTTCTCAGTTCTTGTGAAATCAAAAGAGATGAAAATCCTTTAAGTGGAAATTATGACAATAAACCCCATGACATATACTACTCAGAATAAACATTTCCATCCGATCAGTTGAATGGTCAACGGACTGACTCGTTACCTGAAGTTCGTGGGTTCGTACTGCCAAAGGGTCCCAAACTAGGACGAAACACCTCTGCAGTACCCCATTGTTTTTTAATGGTTCTATAACTGATATCGATTCGTGAGCGAACTTGAAACAAACGAAATACCTATAAGCTAACTCTTCAAAAAAAATGTTAACGTTGGACAAAATCTCCTAAATTTTCATCCCAACAATCCTATGTTTCAAAGATATAAAATTGAATGAAAAAAAGCTTAAAGCTCCTATAAGCAAAAAAATCATCGTAGTTGGCTCAATTTATGCGTGAAACATTTTCCAAATTCCAAATTATCAGGATTAATATTCTCTGTTTCTTATCAAAATCTATATATATATATATATATATATATATATATATATATATATGCGATGACGCTATCCACATATATAAAATTTACAATCTCTTCTGAATTGTAAGAATTCCATAGTGTATTCCATCATTAAGTAGAAGGAATGCCTATTTGAAAAAAAAATAAAGATGCTTGACATGGCTGCTTTAATATTAGTTTACGACTTCAGTTGTCTTTAATCCTTTAATTCTGTTGACAACATGTGTTCAGCATACATACAGCGTGCACCGCCTCGAAAAAGGAGAAAAAAACATACCGACATAATCACGTTGTTGTTAAATACATTTGTAGGCTGCATCTGATGACTTTGATACGTTTATTGTTACTGCTTTTAATACTATTTCATTATTATTATTATAACTATTCAACTGAGAAAAAGCACAATTGTTTTTAAGCTTTAAGAAGACTTTATTTCTTACAGTTTGTCAATTCCCTTTTTGTTCTACTTTATATACTTGACTGTTCAGTAGTAGAAATTATGTGTACTGGAATAGTGACTGATCTAAATAGCCATTTTTATCAGAGGAGTTCATTTTACTGATATAACACCCCACCGAATGAGTTCAGAAACCCAGGTGTTAATTAAGTCTTAGTTGAATAACTTCAATCACTGAAGAGAACTCATAATCTGGTAGTTCGAATCTTATCCCATTTCAGGTTCAATATTCAGGAACTGAAGGACAAAACTACAGACATCAGAGGAAAGTCAGAGACATTATGCAGAAACACTGAGAAAATCTGCTTAGAATAACACTGGGACTCTCTGAAAACGTCTCGTGAAAAGAAATATGTACTGACATCTTGGGTAAAAAGAAGAGACAAGACAATGAGTGGCTCTTTACGGAAATCTGGAAGCTGATGGAGGAGAGAAGGATAGTGAAACGGTAGATCTACTCATTTAGAGATGAACAACGAAAGCAACAGTTGAGTACAACCTACAGTGCACTGAACAAAAGAATGAAGAAGAGTGGTAGGAAACACGACGAACAAACCAAAAATTTATTGCTCAACACTTATGTAGAATGAAATGGAGACGGATTGAACGTAACGCTTAGGAGACCATTGGGGGCCATCACATGCCAGGCCGTCAGATGAAACCCAAATGCAAAGAGATGAGTTAGGTGTGGGTCTGAAAGTGATATGGAAGAGATCGTGCGAAGAGGAAATGAGAGCTTGATGGCAATAATCGTGGATTCAGGTTTTAAAAAAAGACAGCAGAAAACAGAGTGAAATAGAAATGTGCTGCAGAAGTCCTATAATCCAATCGAAATCCAAAGGAATGAGTAATAATAATAATAATAATATAGAAAAATTTCTTTCTCACGCTTATTCAAAATGACTAAAATGTTAATCTCAAAATTCTTTGCTTCGGAAAAGCAAAAGACTCTAAAGTGTTATTCACTTGGATTTAATGAGTGTTTTTAATTGAAAAGTGTTTTCAACCGCTAGTTCCAAGGGATTTGATTGATAAAAGGCTTGATCACTAGCTGACATCAATCAGACAACCATCGGAAAACTAGATTTCTGGACAAATAAGAGTTAGGATGATTAGTTGAGTTAACATTGCTATTATCATTCTTTGTCAAACATGACTTATGATATTTGAAATGTGTAAGGACAAAAATTACACAATAAAATATAGAAAATGTAATGTAGTCGTCAAGTGACTTTTACCACTGAACAATAAGTAGAATGTTAAAATGCGAAAAATAAACTGAAAAATGTAAATATACCTTAATATGCGAATACTGTGAAATTTTCTTTTAAAAGTAAACCTTGCAGGAAAATCCCCTGGAATATATAGTGTTACAATATGCCACGAAAACACAGCAAATAATTCCAGATATGTTGCATTCTCAATGTTCAAGCGAATTGAATAATTTTTGGAAATGAAATCACGTATATTTCGTTCAAGTAATCTATTTAGCGTTAAGTAATATAAATTTATACTTAACCGCTTCGATGGTTCACTAACAGAATACTCAGCAGTCAACCAGGAAGACAGAATTTTCAGTTCCTAACAAACGCGCCTTTATTCCTCGTCTAGTCTGCAGCAAGCCCCAAGAAGAGGGAACATTGAAGGTGATTTCAGTAACGATACACCATAAACACAACGCTGCCGATAGGTAAACTTCAAAACTTAAAGTCCTATGTTCTATTCGGAACTCAAAGGAATAAATAAATATGTTCTACCACAGGCTTCAAAATCTACTCTTAAAGTATGCATGATTTTTAAAATTTACATTATATGTTTATGAGCAAGTTTTAAAAGATGGGAAACTTTAACAGTTATATTGTCCCGATAGTACTTTATCACCTCCGCTTCTATTCTGTTTATTTTTTTCTGTGTTCATAGTGTTCTGTAGTGTCCCCTTACTCCACTAAGTCAACACTTTCTTTCCTAAAAAAACCTTCTTACTGATAAAACACTGTGCGTCGGTGGCACAGTGGTTAGGACTCTCGCCGACCATGCACATGGTCCGAGGTTTGATCCCCTGCCGACGCACACCTGATATCTATGGTCTGCCTGCAAAATTTGGGCTACCGATATCACATGCTGAAAATTCCATACTTGTACCAAAAATACAGTGTGGAATCAAGTTGTAACTAAAAATAAAAAAATAATATGCATCATTCAGTAATAAGGGTTCTGTTAAAGTTAACTTATTTCAGGAATGTTTATCAACAATAGCTGAGAAGCCTACTGTGCATTCTTCTTCTCTGTCTTCTGCTTTCCGTAAAGCAGACACCGCTGAAACTGCTTAAAATATCTAATCAGATGTAACACATGACATATTTTTCAATGACATGTCAAAATTGGTGTTTTTTATATAAATAAGAAAGCGTATAACATGCAAACATTGTATGGTTTTTACTTAATTTAGTAGGGGAATGTAGTTGATTGAGTTTAACCAGTAAAACAGTAAAAACAAATAGGCGCAATGCTTAGAGTATAAATGATATAGAACATTGACTGACTGAGTTTTCAACGTAGAACTTTGCACAGAAATTCAGCAATTCAAGTCCCCACACTTTATATACCAAACAAAGGTGGAGAAAAAAAATCCAAAAAGAATATAATGAACAGAAATGTAGGGGACAAAGAATAATTACATAGGGAAACATAGGGATTTAATGGATCTCGGAGATTACAAAGAGTGAATACATCTGTGTCATAGGGGATGATTGTCAGCCATACCACCAACAGTCTCCAGCCATTGGTTCTTAGTGTTTAGAGGAACCCAACCAGGTGGTCTACACCTTCCTATGGTAGTCAAAATAACAACCAAAGACTTCATACATTGATTCCAAGTCTTTATTTGACTACCCCTAACTCTTTTCCAGATAAACGCTATGTCAGTTAACACTGCTTGGCATGCGTAACACATGTCCTATTCATCACAACCGATGTAGCTTCACAACCTGATTGATTGATTCATCCTCCTTACCTAACACTCTACAACCAATCTCAATATTACTCATCATATTATACTTCTCAATACGGGAGACAGAATATAGATATCTGTGGTCACAGATCACTAGCTTCTTCGTATCTTTCACTTTCAGTGGCCATAAAGAAGTTTAAAGCGAATTGCTGCGTAGTACATATGCTGTTTTACAGGTGGCTGGATATCACCTCTACGCTAAAGATAACGTAAATCAGTAACTGCCACACAAGTCAAGCTGAGATTTTGTCTGTAATAGCCCATTAGATTCAATGCGACGTCTCGAATAAGTGAAATGGTCAACGTATTTACAATTAATAAATTTTCAAGCACAATCCGTTATTTTTTAATTATACTACCAAGAAAAATGAACAGACGCCAATTTTATTTTAGAAATAAGTAAAGTTTCTGTAGTTATTAATTCCACTGCCCTGTAAAGCGACAGATAACAAGTTCTAGTGCATCATACAAGATCCAAACTCAAGCTCTGTTGTACTACTGATAATATTATTACATATCGATGGTTATATTCAGTCATCATTAACATATTAAATACGTTTTACAGAAGTAATGCCACTTAATTGTAGTCATAACGATGAGTGCTTTTAGTACCCAACAAGTTATTTTGGAAGTATTTTCGAAATCCTGTGTTGAGCACAATAATTCCATTAAAGTTTATTTAGACAGTCAGCTGTTGGGGGTTATCAAGAGGAAGAAAGTTTTTCCGCCAAAAGTCACTAACATCAGACTAAAGATGAATGCAAACAAACCATATCACTGTGATATATTGGAGAAAACAAAACATATTAATTATCTGTCTGAATTTCAACCAAGCATTCGACTGTGTGTATTCACAACACCACAGTGGCAGGAAACTCTAGGCCCAGATGTCCCTATCGCACACTTAATGTGAAACGTCTACATGAAAAGAAGATATCTATCTGAACATTGCAACAATTAACAGGTCTGAATAGGAGGCAACTACAAGAAAATAATAATTTACTCTGAGTTTTTAAGAATTACGCTTAGAACTCACTGGTCAAACATAAATGCGGCAATACAAGTCTTTGTAAGAAAGGAATTATTTGAAGAGGTTTTTTTATATTTGTTACTCATCTCGGTTCACTTGAAGTGTGACAAAATGACTTCACAGCTTTTCCGTCAAAGATATTTTTGTAGGGATGTTTATTTGTAGGGAAAGTGTAGGCGAACAATATAAAGACAGAACTTGTATTGTTAAACAGGGATATCTAAAGAGTATGCAGCCGTGAGGTTATATTGGTTGAAATGGCTAAGATTTCGGCAGAAAATTGTTGTCAACCCATAACAAGTTGAAAGGTTTTCAAGTTACCTTCACTTTTACATTCATGTTTGCATTTACACGTGAAGTAATTAAACTTTTAAATCTCCATAAAAGTTTAAGCCCGAGAAAATTCTGAAATACTGAATTGCTCGAAAAAAACATACAGAGTCACTGATTTTGAGAAATTATCTCTTCTTCCAAACTATCATTAGTTTAGTCTACATTCAACTTATTGCTTTGAACATTCATCAAAAAATCATCAGGTTTAATTTCACATTTTAGATTATTTGAACCTATGTGAACTATATTTAGGCATGCCATTGTGTATTAGGTTTACCAATAACACACTAATAATGCTTACATATATATGTATATTTATTTGTGATGAAGCAAAAGGAAACTATAAAGCGTTATAACCGTTAGGCTAGTTAATCTCATTTAAAACAAGAAAGTTGTTGGTGTACAGGTAACGCTTACGATGCATCGGAATTTGTCATTTAACAGTATAGTAAAACTTTACCGAAGGAATGATACGTGCATCGGCAGTATTTGTCACATATTCGACTATCATTTTATCATTAGAACATTTTATTTTACGTTGTGCAGTGAATATATATATATATGTATATATGAGTGCAGTTGGATATCCACTTATTATTTGCTTAATAAGCGTTTCCTCTTACAAATCAAATTAATTTTCTCTTACATTATGGGCAATGAATGATATACAATCTTTTAAAAACGAATTTCAGGAGTAAAAGCTTTCTATATTTCGCTTGACCATCCACAGATAATATATATATATATATATATGCTGAAATGTTTGTATCAATAATCTAACCATTTACTAGGTATTTAAGAAAAAGTACACATATAACTTTATCATTCATGGTCATACTCATAAATATAAAACTATTATGTTTAATGAAATCCCTGGAAACTGAAGTCAGAATGATATTCACACCGCCACAATTATTTAACTATGTTGAATTTATTATTGTAGAACCAATTATACAATTATTTTTCTGAAGGATATACTAAACTTAATAAAGCAAAAAAGCAGGTTAAAAAATGTCTTTTAATCGAAGCAAGATCTTGAGTGGAACTTGAACGCAAAATGTCGAGTTGAGCGTCCAAGGGCGACATGGAAGAAATGATTAGAGGAGAAAGTGAAAACTTGTAGACAATTGTGGAGCCAGCCAAAGAAAGGCGTCAAAGAACAAAGTGAAATAAAAATGTGCCACTGAAGTCTTATGTTCTACTCGGAACTCTAGGGAATAATAGTAGTGATAACTGTTTGTGACGTATTATATATGACTCGTATCGCAAGAATCCTATGCTCTTAAATAGTGAAGATCAATTGTGTAGAAGTTAGTGACTGAATCAGTAGTACACTATTAGTTATGGTGCAAAATATTAAAGAAATCGTGTAGCAGCTTACGCACATCTAAAAACGCTAAGAGAAAAATATACAGGATAGAAGCATGATTTTTATACAGTGAGTTTAAATATCATTCAAGCAAACAATAAGAGCAATTGCCAAATATGTTGGTACAACGTGAGCGACAGGATGACAGTAATGCTATAATTCGAAGATTCACGTTATACCATTCCTCCTCCATTCTAAGAAGTTTTCGATCACATTTTCTACAAAACTGTGTTTTCAACTTCTTATCAGAGTGAGTATATAACCGTAAATAACTTGTTAATACATACTACACCATATGAGATATACATTTTCATGTACCGTCCAATTTCTGCGCAAACAGACTATATTTAGACAGGGACTGGAAATAGCCCTTATCCCTACTTAGATTACTTATGAGGACTTCACTTTGCAAAAAATAATCCATTTAAAGTTATTTTGTAACCAGCATATACATACCTGGATTAAAGAATGCAGTCACTTTAACAAGATCAGAAAACATTTGCTTCTACTACTAAGATCCCGTATTTTTCATCAGTTACAGGTCTAGTCTGTGTCAATATATTACTTTATTTTGTAAAAATATACCACTGCTATTAACTAGTGATTTGAAGTGCAAGACGCTTCTAGAAGAAGTAGCTTTTCTTCAGACTTTAAATCAGTAGTTTATCCTCCTGTTGACATTTCCAATTAAGTAGTGTAGAAACCTGTCAATAGTCAAAGCAACACGTAATTTATTGTATATAAAGGGCTCTCTGTCCCCTATATATCTACTTAAAGGTGAGTTTAAGAATCAGCCTGTTGATTCAATGTCTTATCCAAATTTTGTGCCAATTTTTATCGAAAATAACTTCAAGTTTAATTTCTCTTCTTTTGGTTTATGGAAAGTATGCTGGTGTTCCTCAAAGTCGTCATTACTAGAATTTAAAAAAATTATCAAAGGTACTTTGATAAAGGACACCGGGTATAGTTGATCAACAAACTAAATTCATCCTCAGGACAAAACCATAAAATAAAACCTTAGCAGTTACGGGTTGTCATATAATAATTAATGTTATGGATTACTAAACCATAAATCCAAATATTACATCAGATGACAGCTTTTACAATCCGATTATTTCCAAAATGGCTACAACGGATTCGAACGGAAATTCTGAGGAGGGAACTGTAAGTCAAGCTGTTGCTTTGAATTATATCATTTTCAACAACCACATTAGTATCTTGAAGCAAACATGAATATCAGTTTATTAATATGAAATAAGCATGTGTATTGATGGAATATTTTATACTATATATATATATATATATATAGTCGGCCAAATGGGGCCAGATGCTCAGGTTTCAAAATGGTCAAGCTTGCTGTTTACTGATATGGACCTTTACGATTGTATCAAGGACGATATTAAATTTTTTGAGATCAAGGCTTAGTATCAAGACTGAAATGATAATACAAGATTTTCTAGTCCAGGAGCGCATGAAAATGAAATGTACTTTGGATTTATAATTGTATATACCCACCCCCTCACAAAATCGTTCGATCTGTGAGGAAAAAATATTCACAGTAGATTAATATTCAGATTTGCTGCTTAAATCCCCCCCCTCGAAACAGAGTTTTAATGCAAACCAACGCATTATATATATATATATATCTGTAGCACGTTACCAAATTTAAATGTAAACAATCACATATGAATTAAATATCTTACTTTATTTAATTTAAGCAAAACGCACGGTGTCCCTTTACTGTAACCATAGCTATTTTTATTGTTGCAGGGTCCTAAGTTCTCGAGAGAAAATTTGCAAACTTTGTCAACATCTTTTGTATCGGCATCTTTGCCTTTACAACTTGCAAACTGACTATCAGGTTTTGCATTTACGTCTTTATACGTTTGCAAAAAAGCATCTATATTATCCACATGAGGGAAATAGGTCTGAGGATCACCCGTAGAAAATTTAATCATTGACTTCTGAACTTCTACAGTTGGGCGGAGACCCAAACCTGTTGAGATAAAAAGATGAGTAGAACAAATATTTGTATTTACCAGGTTTGAAATCCAGTAAACTTTGCTTTCCTGTGCGGGCAGGATGATCTTCCGGAACGTTGAAATACAAAACGAGCCACAGCAAACCAGTGAAAAACGCTGCCAGACAAGCATAATAAGTGGCGTAGAACAAAAGACACAGAACTAAACAGTATAAACAAACGAAGTGAAAACGTACCCCAGCTCTTTCCAGTACGGCCAAAGAGTGCCTTACTCTTCGAATCATATAACCAAGATGGAATACGATGTCGCGACATGTACGACAAGGTGGACAAATTGTCCGAGAATTCTTGCATTGACATTTGCAAAACTTTTTATTCAGTGCACTATAAAAACAACCTTGAAATGGCGAAGTACATACGATCTTGATTCATAAAAACAAGTGACGATAAACTTTAGGCTCTTTCACTACTTTGGAAAATAATAGGTTAAATTTAGCTGACAGAAGCCACTATTAACTTACAGAATAACGTTGAGTTGGTTGATAATGTCACTAGTAATTATTAATATGTATATTTTTGCTTTCATACTTTGTTGGTAGTCTGGTCTAGCAATTTTTGAGGATAAAGAATAAGATTAACAATATTTGAGGACTACAGCGATAAATTGGACCAATATTAGGTTCATATTAGGATTAGGAACTTAATGTAAATGGCAGTCATCCCACAAATTAATTTAAATATTTCAATCTAAAATTTGTCGACAAACTTGAGATGTTATACTGTTTGACACTCGGCTAGATTGTTCAGGGACATTCGATTTTGTAAGTGAACCTACAGAACTCGCGAGCGAATATATTTTCGACACTCAAGAAGGGAGAGGAATTTATTTGGCTGGGTAAAAAACATGAGATACATGTAAGGCGCAGGCGACCAACTTCCCAGGTGGATCCACGTAATTTGAGTATATTTTTTCCTTCACGTTCCCAGTGGAAAATAGGGCTCCAAGCTAGAGGCTTGAAATTTCTGTAGCAGTTTCAATTTTTACAGGATGGGGTTGCTACCCTCATGATTATTATTATTATCGTATTTTTTAATTCCTAGAGGAACATAGGGCTTCAGCTGCGCGTCTCTATTGCCTTCAGTTTTCTGCCAACTTTTTCACCCCGCTCCAAATCTGCCCACTTGCTTTCATCTCCTCTTCACATGACCTCCTCCAAGTCACCCTCGCACTGACGACCAACTCGCCGCTTCCCTCTCGGGTTTCACTCGAGCAATGGCTTGTCTAGTGATGTCACTTGATGGTTTCCTCAGCGTATGGCCGGCCAATCCATCTCCATTTCTTCCTGCCTATTTCTTGCACAATCGGTTCCTGCTGGGTTGGTTCACTCATTGCCAGAGATCCCTGTTGCTGATCTTTTCTGGCCATCTGATCTTGAGTGTTGAGCGAAGACGACTGTTAATGAAGGTCTGTAGTTTGTTTGAGATGCTCTTTATGACGCGCTGGCCAAGTCTCTGATCCGTATGTTAAGTAGCACTGAAGGACTTCACATCGGGGATTAAAATTCGGATCTTATTTTTGATGCTGAGTGCTGTTGACCTCCACGCAGATTTGAGAGTAATGAAAGCTTGTCTTGCTTTTCCGATTCTGGCTTTGATATCCTCGTCAGTTCCGTTCGCCTGTAGTTGAAACGATGCTTCCCAGGTAGGTAGGTAAAGGAGGTTGTTTCCTCCAGGTTCCTTTCATTTATGCTAACTGTCGTCTGTTGTTGTTGCTGTTGATGTTGGCCAGGAATCATCATCACCTCTGTTTTATCTATGTTCACTTGAAGTCCTATCTTTGATGCTTCTTCTGCCAACTTGTTGCTTTTCACTTGCACATCTTCAAGTTCGTGGGAAATCAGACATATATCATCGGGGAAATCCAGATCCTCCAAGTCTTTTGTGTCAGTCCATTTTATGCCTGTTCCCTCGTTGGTTGCCGTTGTCTGTCGCATTATCCAATCTACTGCAATCAGGAAGATCATTGGCGATAGTAGACAGCCTTGCCTCACTGCCGTCCTCACTCCGAAGGCTCCCATAAGTTTCCCGTTGTGGATTACTTGGCATGCAACATTGTCGTATAACTGTTGGATGAGATGTATAATTGTCGATGGGACCACGTAATGGTGAAGTAGTTGCCAAATCACCTCTCGATCGACGCTGTCGAAGGCCTTTTCAAAGTCGATGAAGTTGAGTGAGGTGGAGAGGTGACTGCCATTCCAAGCTTTGTTCAATGATGATCCGTAGTGTAGCGATTTGATCGATGCATGATTTGTTTCTCCTGATCCCAGCTTGTTCCGGTCGGAATTTTGCATCCAGGGCTTGTTTGATTCTCTTCAGGATGATACGGCTCCGTATTTTTCTTGGGATGGACAAGAGCATAATTCCACGCCAGTTTTTACATTGACTTAAGTCTCCTTTCTTTGGTAGTTTGAATAAGTAGCTGTTCTTCCAATCCTCGGGTACTTTGCCCTCTTTCCACACCTTCTCCAGTAGTGGTGTCATCAAGTCCGCTGTTGTCTCTGGGTCTATTTTCAAAGCCTCTGCTGGGATTCCATCTGGTCCCGGTGTTTTCCCAGTTTTAAGCATCCTGATTGCATTCAGGACTTCTGATTTCGTCGGGGGGTCAGTGTTCACTGGTAGTTCTGCTTCCGTTGTTGGTATTGTCGGGTGCGTTGTAGGTGGCGGTCGATTTAGAAGTCTTTTGAAGTGTTCAACCCAGTGTTTTCTTTGCTCCACTTCTTTGGTGACTGACTTTCCATTGTCGTCGTTTACTGACTTAATCTGTGTCGAACTTCTACCCGATAGGTGGCTAGTTGTTTGGTAGAGTATGGCAAGGTCTCCTTTGCCTGCAGCTTGTTCTGCTTCACTTGCCACGGTTTCATAATATTTTCTTTTGTCTTCCCTGGCACTCTTCTTCACTCTTTTGTTCAGCGTATTGTAGCTTGCATTCAACTCCTGTTTTTGTTGTTCGTCGGTGCACTGGATAATCTTTTGTTTCACCGTCCTTCTCTCTTCTATTAGTTTCCAAGTGTCCGTAGCGAGCCACTGTTTGTCCTGTCTCTTCTTTCTGCCCAGAACTTCCATGCAGGTATGACTCCAGACCGTTTTCAAGTTGTCCCAGTGGTTTTCGACCGTTACCTCTTCGCTAGTGTTGATTTCTATCTCTGCTTTGTCCTTTTTGCTTGCAATGAAGATGTCCTTTGTAGCTTGGTCCTTCAGCTTTTGAGTGTTGAACTTGGCTGGTAGTCTGTCTGCTAGCCTCATGCCCAACCTTTTATCTTTAATAGCTTTCACTTCTGGCTTAGCGAGGTAAAGGAGTGCGTCGGCGGAGGATCGAACCCCGGAACATATGCATGGTCGGCGAGCGTCCTAACCGTTGTGCCACCGACGCACTAGAATCAAAATCAGGAGCCTCCTTCTATATTTTTCTCGCAGCAACAAAATTTATTATTTTCTATGAATAGCACTTTGGTTTGTATACCTTGTTCAAACGTATATAAATACCAAAGTTCTACAGGTGAGAGAATTGAATCTGTATTATTGATACTTCTGAGCACATAGTGGGCAGGGTGTGAGCATCGTGTAAGTTTCGGTTATTATCTGCAGTAATTTGTATTGTGCGATGCTGTAATTGCGATCCGTAATTGCAGCTGTTAAGCCATTGTTGAATAGAGTGTCACAGAATAGAGTTATTGCTTCAGAGTGCAGTTCTGACTCCACAAGTTTACAAAGGATAACTAGTCAGAGTGAAGATATAAAACCTTTAATGATTTGTGAGGAGGAACCAAAATTGTCTACTTCTGTTATTAAAGAGTTTGAAAATGATGAAGTCGACCAGATAGATGATGGTAAATTGAATATTTGTGATAATGATCAGGATAGTGCAGATTTGTCTTTGCTTGATCAGGATGAGATGAGGGATATGCCTACTACTGCTGAGTTGAGCAAAAGTTCTGTACAACTTGAACGTGAAGTGGAAATAAATGCAGATGCAGTTGCAGAAGGCATGCATACTTGTGAGACCGTCAGTGTGACTGATCAGCATGTAGCCCACCTATCATCAGATGCTAGTGCTAAACCTGAGCTGATAGTAAAAGACACCAGTGGTGGTGGTCTTGCAGGTAGACAAACTTCTGAAAGCCGAGCAACAACAGCGTGGTGGATCAGCTAACTTCATCAACTGATATCAATCAGTCGTCGTTGGTGCTTTCATCCACAATGAAACAGACGCCCATCAACACAGGTATCTTGTGCAATGACTATGATAGTATTGGTGCATTTGAAAGGACGAAAGACATTGCTCAGTTTAGTGAGGATAAGCCAAGTGTAAACGAGAGAGTAATTGTTAAATTGACTTGCACGAATAAAGGCATTTCTAGTTTCAAGTTACTATTTGAATGCTATTATCTTTGGTGTAAATTACTCTGTTTCTACGCTTGGTTGACCAGATACGTCGTGTGTTTGTTCGTCATCTATATTCTACGATACAATGACATGAGCGTGTTACTGTTCAGATTTGAGGATATAGCTGATAGAGGGAAGTCGGCAAATGAACTATGCAACGATTTTCCAACCTACAGCGTCAACCTGAGAAGGGTTGTAGGCGTACTGTCGTAAGTCCTACAATTCTTCAAAGGGTAGCGCATCAATGAGCAGTCCAATGTGCTTGGTGTGTGATTTTGTACATATGTTCGTATTGTATATACTGAATTGATATCATCTGTCATCTAGCTGTTGGTAATTCTGTTTGTGTCCGGACGACTTCCACTTGGATCATCAACCTGAGAAGGAATGTAGGCGCACTTCTGTAAGTCCTACAGTCCTTCAAGGGTAGTTTGTCGTGCCAGAATCCACAACATTTTATGTATTGATTGTACATATGTTTGTGTTAAATAGTTGTGTGAGTTCCAATTATTGTAATTGTTGGTTAATCTTGTTTGTGTCCGGACATTCCACAACTTACAATCGTCAACCTGTGAGGGGTTGTAGGCGTACTGGTGTAAGTCCTGCGATTCTTCAAAGGAATTCCATCGAGACACGATCGGCGAGTTTGTGTATACCGTTTATACATACGTGTGGTGTGTCATATCAATTGGTGGTTTTGGATTCATTGTGTTTACTTGTTGTTTTCTTATCTTGTTGTTTTGCATAATTTTGTTAAAATTTTCGTCGTGATTACTTCTGAAGTTGTTTCTAGTCTTCTAAATCCGTGGATGAATTGGTTGATGTTAAAGAAAGCAGATGGGGCGTATACGCCGGGGAGGCTAGGCTATTGCTGAGAATGAAATGCACACGGAGATAATTGTTAGCTGCGGTCCCACACGCCGGGGAGCGAGAGTGTAGACGACGGAGGCTTGCATACGTCACCGCTGCTGGAACTGAGGCAGAATGAGTGACAAGCGATTTCAGTGGTAATTGGTAGTGAGTAGATAAGAGGATGAGCGTAGAGTATCGTGAGGTACTGCCAAAGTCACATTGTATTCTGCAAGAGTCATTCTAGCAAGTGGAGATTGTGTTGCAAGAGGATGCCTTTAACTGGAAGGCGCAGGTCG